ATTGAAAATGTCATCTGATTTGGTATGCTTTGGAACGCTATCTACTATTACGTAAAAGTGATAGGTAAATAAGCGGCATAAAATCGAATAGAAAAGGTATCGAGGAAAAACGTCGACCCGACATTGCAACGAACGCGAAGCAGGATTTGCTCGGTTTTCTTTGGAGCGCTCTCGTTGCCTCAATATTGTCGCTATCTCTTGTATACAGTTGCCGCCATATTCCGCGAGAAGACGCCATATCACCGGAAGCTACCATCCCCTTTTATACTGGCTTGTCGCGGACCGTCTCCGCGAAAACTACCCCCATAAAAGTTGACGACTTAAATCGCGGGGCGTATGCCTCGTCAGAGGGAAGGAAGAATTCCTGAACATTACCGCGCAAATACTTGCAATACTTTTCGACGTATTCTGAGATATTGCTTTATTTTAAGAAAAAGACCGACGAGATATTTTAAATTTAATGATAAGACCGCTTTTATATATAATAATATATAATAAAATTTTAATTTAAAATTTTAATTTTATATATAAAATTTTGAACACAGTACAAAACGCGTCTCCAAAATCACGGCTTATAAATAATTGATATTATGTTAGAGTACTTTCTAGTCATTCTGTAAATTATTATAAATTGAAATATAATTTTTTTAATATTTTATATATTATCATATCTTTTTCAACAAAGTAACTAATTATATATGAAATTTATTCTCTATTTTGTCAATTCCCATAATTTTTCCGAAATTAAAGTTGTATTATTTTCTTTCGAGATTCTTAATATTTAATTGAAATGTATTCTTAATTATTCGCGTGCAATAAAATTTCAAAATGACAAATTGAAATCGTTGATGATCAAATTAAAAAATAATCTCATGAGTTTCTTTCTGTTGAAGAACGCAATCCAACGAGACGAGGAATTTACAGTCGTCATCGCATCGAGGACTTTTCCAATGGAATTGTCGTGAAAGACATTCGATTATGATTCCGCGGGACTTTATCATCGCCGTCCATAAATTCTGAGCTCGCGCAAAAGCAATCTGCGCCGGCGGTGATCCTAATAACCGTGCGGCCATTCGTTCGCCCGGGAGAGTGAGTCGTAATCCTAACCGAAAGACACTCGACGGAAAAGAAGACGGAAAAAGGAGCGCCCGAAGTGGCCGTAATGAAGTAGATCGAGATAAATATGGAAAGGGGGCTTAAAGTAAATGGCGATCTTGGCCGCGTATCCCGCATCAATATGCTTGAAAGTGTATTTCGCTGACGTGGCGCTTCGGAAATAAACATTCGATTGATTAATCCGACGCTGACGTCTATAACGATTGATGATAATACATAGAGTTTTGTTATAACTTTCGAAAATTGTGGTGGAAATCGCTCGTGATTGCGTTAAGACGATCAGGTTGCCTCTCGTAGTAATAAAATATAAGAAATATCAAGTACAATAAAATTAAAGAAAAGCATAAAGTAATAATCTTCACTTTGATTACAATTTTTTTCGGCGGTCTTAATTTAAAATTTTAAACAAACACTTTTAAATAACATCGACATCGTTTCTCAGTGTTGAGGCGTTTGGGCTTTTGCGGCTAATATGACCGATGTATGTATGAGGTCTTGATATATATAAGGGACAGGGGTGCATAAATATGTGCGTATGCGTCACCGCGCGCATAAGTGCCGATGAGGGGATTTGTAAAATGATCTTAACGTTTCGCGTCAATCACTTACGTCGCGTCGTTTCGACACGTACGAGCATGTAGCCGCATACAGAAAATTGGAAGGTTTCGACTTTCAAAAGGGTTTTGTTAATCGATCAGATACATAACTCAATTCCTCTATCCATTCCGTGAATATTTTCACGGAATGAGAAACATGAAGAGTAAACTTTTGCGAATATATGTATTTCCTTAAAAAGTTGCAAGAGAATTTTTTCGTATACCGTAAACAAATTTCTCGCAAGCATGTGAGATTCAATCATTTAAAAAGCAACGAAAAACATATATTTTGACTTATAAAATTATTGTAATTTTTATCTTTTAATTATAGTGCTGAAAGATTATTGTTAAAATTAAATTTATCGACTTATGTTGTTGCCGTAAATTAATTGATTATTATTTATTACAGAAACATCCCGGTATTTTGCCGGTAAAATATTTTGATGAAGAAAAAAAAGGATCACATGCGCGACGCGACACGAAGGATCTACGAAGAGAAGTATATCGCTTCGATGATATATGCATACCGGGGATACGTTACACGGTATAAGGTAAAGTTCTCTCAAGACGCCGGAAAGCGCGCGCAAAAAGAATCTTTCGGAAGACGTTGCGGCGGCGGCGAGAAGGGGCGAAATTACGTCAAAAGTCTCGAGAATTTATCGGAGCACTTTTTAAACTCCGCCTTCGCGCGATTAGCATATTATTTCTATGGAAGCCGAGTGCGCGAACAGACGAAGAGAGAGAAAGAGAGTATCTTGCTCTCGTGGTTCTCCTCTATATCGGGCTAGAAAGGGAGGTGGGTGTGGGGAGCATATCAAATATGTTGATAAATGATCCCTTTGAGCGATGAATAGGCGGCGTCGGGTTCGTACGTATCCTTTTTCGTCGACGGCGACGGCCAACATTTGAATGTCAGAAGGAACGCCGCTACGCGCCCGTTTGGCGTTTCTCTCGATCTTTCGCACCCCGCCGAAGTATCAAAATCACATGAGCACGTCGTGAATCGCCGGCTCGTCGCGAACACTCGGGCGGAACGAAACGCGAGGAATTACGCAAATAGATATCCGCGATGCAAAACTCGCCGAATTTTATATGGAACAACGAAACCGCTCT